AAGGACCCAAATAATCGCGCACAGAATGTGTGCCTTCCTGCGAGTCAGCCCTCTACCATGGTAGGGGAAAACGATGTTCTTCAGCCTGTCACCAGAGATGAGCGCCAGTACCATTACAGACACCTCACTGGACAGCACCGAGATCGCACCTGTAACCTGACACGACAAACCGGATCGCCACTGGAAGTCATGCAGATAGTAACTTCCCGACCATAACAGGTCCTTGGCACCTAAGGTGACCAAGTAAACGCCCATCAAGCAATCTCCAACTGCTAAGTGCATTAACATGATAAGCTGGACTACGTTTCTCTCTTTAAAGATTAGACGCCACACAATTACGAACACAGCACCAAGCAAAGAAAGGATTCCGATTGCCCAAATACTTTTACGTGGAGCTGAGTCGCGGAACATGCTCTCGCAACTGGCGAAGCTGTCGTCGTATAAAGCGGTGCATTGGGCGTCTTCTTTGGTCAGATGACAACACATAAGACTGGTGTCCACTATCCTATAATCCATAATGTAGAGGGCAAATACAGTGAGGATAAAAACGCAAAAGATATGTTGTCACTCACACTGAAAGGTCATGATCAAAATATGGGGTATAATTTATTTTCCAGGTTGCTGTTGGCTCAATCTAGGGATAGTGAATCGAATGGTCTTTGAGGCACCAAACTTTCCGCTGATTTTGAAGCTAAGTGAGGTAGGCTGCGATTATATGGGGCCTCAAAAAAGGAAAAAGGAAACCATATAATTGCAAAAGATTGTAACTTCAACAACAATCTCTGTAAAGCTACAAGTTTTCAGTAGGTTAAACTGACCTAAACCAGCTAAATATTTGCGGAGTCGGTATTGCAGGAAACTTGAAACATAATATAATATAATATTGTACGTTTCACTGACCATTAAAAAAAACTTACACTTTCATGATGTCCTTCATTCCATCGAAAAACCCGTTAGGAAGCTCAGACATTTCGTTATTTTGCATATTCCTAAAAATAAAAAAGGCTACCATCGATAAATAGGTATGGATAAGAAATTGAAACTACACCGTGATGTCAAAACGTGTGCCCCCTTGTTGCGTGTTTAAATTATGTTTAAACGCCGTGAAGATTCATCCTTTTTTATAGCCCAACGTCTCCGGATTCCAGTCTAAATCGATCTCGGAACAAACCATGAGGTTTGTGTAAACTGGCGATCCCGATTTCTTTAAAGGTGCCTCTCGCTCTGTGC